TAATGCCTCGTCGTGCTATCGATCATCGCCAAACCGGTGGAACGAAAGCGGACGCAAATATTAACGGCGAGACTGCGGATCTTTATGCGAATTCTCATTTTTATCCTATCGCAGTTTGTTCATTAAACGTCGGAATCACGGAAACATCGCTTTTTTGACTGCAGAATTTCTTACACTAGGTCCTCCCATAAATTAGTGTTGCGCGCACGTTTATTCTCTCCGCGGCGTGCTTTACAAAAGCCACAGCAATTGGTCCCGTCACAGTAATCGGCTCCACTGGCCCATAATAGTACCATATTCTTTCGAGATATAATCGATTGCCGTAAAAATTAATCTTCAAGTTCGACCAAATAATTCCGTCATCCGCGCATTGCTGACGCGGCAAAGCGTTAAAAAAATTGGAACAATGAACGGCACGAATTTATTGATCTACCTGATAGGATAATTTTGGGTACACGAGGAATTTTAGTATTTCAGAGGATTTCAAGTGGGCGAAACGAGATCTGAAGTATTTATCGAGTTGAATATTATATATTATATTATATTATATTATATTATATTATATTATATTATATTATATTATATTATATTATATTATATTATATTATATTATATTATATTATATTATATTATATATTATTATATATATTATATAATTTAATATTATATATTTTTATATATCTTTGAATATCAACGCTTTGTTGTGCCATCAATCCTCTCGAAAGCAGCGGGATTGAGAAGCGAATAGAAATAACGTATCAAAAATAATCCAAAAACAATCGAATTTTATCTTAGCAATAATTTAGTTTAGATCCTTATCATAAAGGCACGTAAAGCTAGATCAATATAACTATCTGTAGTATATGAGAATAGCAGATACGATATTGTAGTAGCTAATGGATTTTATTAGATTCTACGTGAATCGTCAGTGTCTTTCGAGTAAAAATTCACTATACTAGTAAAAAACACGCCATATTCCTTCCGATATCCCTGCGTCCGAGCAACACGGTTTCATTCGAGTATTCGATTTAATCGTGTTGGGTATCGTTGCTTATGCACAAGCAAGGAACTCAAACTGTTATTTTTTGGAGCAAAATAGTATTTTATTTCGTTAACCGAAACAAGGTGAGTAGAAGATCTAAAAAAATAGGATAAGAAGACAACCGAGTAAATGCAATTACTCTTGCGAAGACTGTCGTTCGACTGACGAGGCAGCGTAGTTTTTCTTTCTAAAGTTGCCAGGGGCACAGGATAAGCACATGCAAGTGATTATCCTTACCCTGTGCATTTATTGCCCTGGCAGCGTCGTCTCCGGCTCGAACGTCGCATCGGTGAGCCGACCTATAACTGTACGAACCTCCAAGGGTCATACCGCGAGATATTATAAAACTAGAATCTAAGCATGCATTTAACAAATACTTAAAACTATATAGACATTTCAATAAATCGATCATTCGAATCGGATCGTTTTTTCGAATCGAGTAAAATCCGGTTTCATTCTTTCGAGTTTTCGCACGTTCCTATTGCGAAACATACAAAAGCGGTAAATACAGTGCAAATTAGACCGCGCAATTTTCCGTGCATTTGAAACACACAGAAGTGTGCAACAAATTATAAATCAGAACACCGCGTCGCTAATTGCCCGGATTAGTGGTTGACGCGACTATAAATGATGGATGTAAAACATGAAAAAAGAAATATTACGCTACTTTCATACTAATTCCCTGATAAATTACCATCGCGATCAGCGATCTCAATTTTTTCAGTCTTTTGGTAAGGTACGTCGTGGTAAAAAGAATTGCCTATTCCAATGATAGACGACTACACGAGAAGAAAAACAATACCATCGCATAGTATTATTGGCATTGGAAACATTTAGTATGCCACCTTCATAGAACAGAAGCAGACGGAAATTCTTCTTCTGAGCTCTTTCACGTGGCAGAAATTCGACAACCAATGGTGTACACAAAATCATCAAATTCGGGATTCGAACCGAGTATATGTTGTTCGTTTGTAAACATGCGAGAACCAGGTACATAGCGCGCACGTCTAGCGTGACAATTGTAACTTCGTGCTCAGAGTTGGCTTTAGTTTAGCACGGAGCCGACAATAGCACAATATTTTTCTTATCGATTCGAAATATTTATTGGTCCAAGTTGCATTGTTTTTATTTAACTTTTCGTTACGCATAATTTATTCAAAAAAGTATCCTCAAACATTATTGGTAATTTTAAATTACCTGTTTTAGAAAATAATTTGAAGAAAAATTCAGAGATTTATACATTTCAGCGAAGGATTAGAAATGTCGTAAATATTTCTGGACTTTTCGTACTAAGTGTCATATGGTCATAGTGTTTTGGTCGTTGCATTGGACTTGATCTTAGCTTTTACATTACGACGATAAAAATTGCACACAATTAAATAGATGACATTATTTTTTGATTAGATTTATAAACAAATTTGTGTGATTATTTGCTTTTCTGTGTCACTTTGGGTGACCTTGAATGACCTTCGTAATAGTTCATTGTATTCGCCTCGAAACACTCTATCAGAATGTAAGTAAAAAAACTTACTGTTCCATTAAAAAAAAACAGAATTGACCTTCGTATCTCCTTGACGCCTCCACCTACAGAAAAATTGGTAATACCAAATTATATGAGCCCCCCGATACCAAGTAAGTTTGGTCTAATGCATTTTCTCCTATCTTCAAAAACAAGCGAGTTATTCAGGTGACCTGTTTAAACTGCCCCACCCTGTATATAAAGCATCGCTCGAATTGATATCCATATAACAGGAGAAACGAATCGTATTAATAAATCTTATCCTCTTAGGTATCAATCTTTCCAGGAGTTTCGGCTGAATCAGCTGTAGCAAGGGGGGCGGGGCGGGGCGGGAGGGGGGCATGAAGTAAAATAAATGTATATAATAGATCAAGACTGCCATCCGAATCAGCGCTTAAAAACTCCAAAGTAAACTCTACTGATAAAGGTAGCCCGGCGAGGATTCTTTTCATCAATCTTCTCCGTGATTTCTATAGGAACGGATGCACCAAGAAAACGCGTACCAAAGCGCACGGTCGTTCTAAAAAGCTTGCGAAACAGTGCCTAAACAATTGGCCAAAATCAAACGTGAAGATACGCTATCGTTCGAAAATATTTCACTGTGGATCTTTTTCCGTTGTCGTATCGCGCACCGGTTCACGAGATAAAAGGGAAAGGTAAACTTTTATCTTTCGCTCTTTATGAATATTCGTGAAAAGCTTTATCCTGCACGAAGATGCACGGGTGCATCGACCACCAATTCCATTTACAGTTTACATACTGGAAAAAAAGGATAACGGACTCCGCAATCTATTGTCCCGGCGCCGCAACTCGACCATATCGTATAAACGTCCACAGTTTATGCGAATTCTTGCGGAGAAAAAACCGTGTAAAACCCGGAACTCGGTACAATTTTATTAGCCGCGGTGCAGGCAAATAAAAAAGCCGGAAAATCGTATTAAATTCCATCGAACATTGTATTTTATCGTTACGACTCGTAAAAAGAAAATTCGCTGGTCTGGTTACAAGCAGTTCGATCGCATGAAACCGGACCGGTTTCTCCCTTTCCGATCTTTATTCGAGAAGGTCAAGTTCGTTGATCGATTACTTTTATTCGCCGATTATTGCTCACCGATAACTCGGCCGAGGATCTTTCTGTAAAATGAAAATATTGTGCGTCGATTTCAATAAACAGAAAATGCATAGATATTCATTCCTGCATTGAATACTTTTTGTTTTGTCCGTACGTTCGGTTAGTCGCCTAACGTACATGCGCGACCGAACTATTGTACGCTCGATTCGCGCTTCCTACGGCAAATTAATGACGTGGAAGGGTCTCTAGTAGTCTTAGAGAACTTTATTTTTTGTGTTGTACTCTCTGCGAGCGCTGGTGGAAGAATGCTCTTCCAACGCTGGAAAGTCGTGGAAGAGCACCCGTGGATGGAGGTAGATTGTTTATTATTGGTCAAGGCACGAATCACCCCTTGGAGGGGGGTGTCTGCCTTGATCCTTGTTGGGGCCTGAGAGGGTTTCCCCAATGGTGGGACCTTTTTATGGCCCTTGTCTCTGGACGCAACACTTTTAACGAGTTATAAATAATAGATTCGATCGGTGAATTCTTCGAATAGTGTCAGTTTTCTGTTTAAACTGCTAATCCGCAGTCTACTGCTGATTTCATTTTGAATTTATTATTTCGAATGTTACACAAAATGCAAACATTTCTTTCTGCCAATGTGTACACTTCGACGAGCTTTCCAAATAGAATTGCGAATCGAAATTGAAGAGGATTCTGCGCTGTGACCATTCGAAATATCGTACGAATAAAATTTTATTCGAAATAATACTCGAATAAAATTTGATTCGAAGAATTTATCTCGAAATATTACTCGAATAAAATTTTATTCGAAGAATTTCTACGAAATATTTTTCAAATAATATTTCATTCGACGAATTTATTTGATATATTATATTATATTATCTAAGCCAATAGAGATCACTGTGTGCACTGTACAGTGTACAGTGTGCTTTCAATTGACCAACAAGAATAAAAAGCTCACCGAAGGCAGAGTTTAATCGACAATCTCGAAGAAGAAAATCGAACGTCGTCTTCTCCGGCGAGAGCAAAATTGCCGAAGTTGCAAGGTCGTGGGATCCTCTCGGCGCGGCGTTGTCTTTCAATCGAGTAAGGTCAAGTTCATCGATCGTCGCCGACGGATCAGACTATTTCCGAGCGATCGCGTGGATCGCCGATCGTATCGTGCAGCGGAAACGCTGGCATAAATTTCGTGACCACGTGGAGGATCTCCGGCACCTCGGGGATCGAGCGATGCTCATCGGTGATCGAACGATCGCCGGAGATACGCGACCTTCTCGGGAATCGGGGACGAGGGCGAGGGTCGGGTCGATCGATTTTTATGAGTCGGAATATAAACGGCTCGCGGTTAAACGCCGCAGTCGTCGCGGAAATACCGAAAGCTGATCGTCGCGACCGCGCGCAATCGTGCCGACGGTAAACGAAGAAATCGGAGCTCGCTTGAGAGCCCCCAAAAAAGTTTCCCCGCGTGTTTTCGTTCCCCGGCTCCGCGCCCCCGTCGATATCCGCGGCGATTCTCTATTTTGATTCGCATGCAAATCCGGCGTTTTGTTTTGTTACTCTCGTCCGCGCCGTCTCTCGCGATCCCGCCGCGCCGCGCGGAGAATGCTTCGTTAAAAACATTTCGTCAGATTAATTCCCGGAATGAAAACAGATGAAAGCGACCGCCGTGCGTCTACCGGCTCTCCTCGCTTTCAAAGTGGATTATGCTCGATCGCGTTTCAACTTGTCCTTTTGAAAAAAATTAATGGATAGCTCGAAACTCGACGTCGATGGCGTGGATAGATGAAAGGGGGAAACGTACTAACGCATTTCGCGCGGGTCACAGATCGAGCTTTACTCGCACGTCTAACGGGGGTCGATAGTAATGCGACAGTATTTTGAAATTCTCCGCATGGTTTCACAGATTTTTCTCGTATAGATACATAAAATCCGCGATCTGTTCATCGATGACCGGGTCTGCCATCAAATCTCTAATAAAATTAGCGTAACCGTTGCCCTATATTCACCCATAGTCACCGAGAACATGCGACCTAGTGAATTACATAATAACATTACATGACATAACATAAGTTACATAATAAATACATAAATAAAGAACTTTTGTTTCGGGTGCAATACGACCCGGCTACGGCTTTCGTTCGACCGTTAACCGAGTCACGAATCGTAGCGAAGCTCTGATAACTACAGGGTGCCCCAAAAATGTCTCGCAATCCGAAAGTGGCGGGTTCCTCGGGTCATTTGAAGCAACTTTTTCCTTTACAAAAATGTTCTCCGAGGCACCGTTAACGAGCTATTAACGAAAAACAGTGACCAATGAGAGGCGAGATCAGCTGCCGCGAGGTGGCCGAGCCAACGGCGCCAGCGGTCGAATCCCAGCTCAGCTGGCGCGAGGCGGCCGAGCCAACGGCGCCAGCGGTCGAGCGGTCGAATTCCGGCTCAGCTGGCGCGAGGCGGCCGAGCCAATGAGCGGAACTGGGCTTCGCGCGCTGGTTGGCTGGGCCACCTCGCGTCAGCCGTACTCGATTCTTATTGGTCACTGTTTTTCGTTAATAACTCGTTAACGGTGCCTCGGAGAACATTTTTGTAAAGGAAAAAGTTG